CTCCTTCAAAGAACTGGGATCTGCTGGGACTCACAGTCAGAGCAGCTGGGAGGACTAAACAAAAACAAAACAAGAAAAGAAACAGCTGCTTAGTTTTGACCTTCTCAGGGCCCCAGGGTCCTGAACATCTTATTGATTGTTAACCCTAAGATGCACAATTGCTGTATGAAATTTAACTCTGAATGTATTTTTAAGGAAGATGAAATGCTTTCCATCCATCCTTAAATTATCAGTTTTTATAACATGGTGTATTAGAGCCAGAATGAAAATCGTAGTTGTTCCTTCTAATGATCAAAAAATCTGGCTTCCTTCTGTCTTATTACTATTAAATATTCTGAATCCGACAGATAAACAGATGGGCGTAATTTTGCATAGGGACCATAGGGACATGTCCCTACCAACATTTTGAACCAACCTACTTCTCCCTACCAACTTTTTTGCAGCAGTAGAGGAGCTCTGGATGGATAATGTTGACAGACAAAAACAATTTTGGTTTAAAATGCATTTTTTTTTTTACAATTTTGGTATAATTCCTGCTGTAAGTCGGTCCCTCTGTGAGCTAAAGACATGTTTTAGAGTCTCTATACTCCAGTTAACGATTAATCGATTAAAAGATTTATTGACATTTCAATAATCGATTATTCCAATGAATTGGTTGAGTCCAAGATAAAATACATGATATGGGTTAAATAGAGTAACTACAACCTAGATGACTTAAACAGTGAAATTGATATTCTAAATGTTTAGTGTCAGTTCCACTGATCATGTAAATGCAATACATTTATTTGGTGTCCCTCAAATCTATTATTTTGCTTTGTTTCATGAGCATGTTCACATAGCGAATATATAAAAGATAAGAGTGTTGTTTACCTCTGCACATTTGTATATCTTCAAAAGAAAAAACAGGATAAATCCACATATTTAGACTATATTTTAGACTATATTTTGTTAAATAGGCACAGATTTACTTTATGTCTTAGTTGCTGGTAATGTCAAATGCAAACCTTTTCAAAGTGGAAAAAAGTAAAATTCCACATCAGAGCTAGTGATGTTTCAAACATTGATAAACAGCATCTAGTTTGTGTAGTGCTTATAAAATTTGCACCCTGATTTTCACGTCAAGCATAAAAAGAATGACAAGGCATATTTTTGCATAGGACGAATGACATCAGACCAAAAGTGCCCCTACCAAAGTTTAAATCAAAGCTATGCCCTTGGATAAACATACTCTTTAAGACATCAGCATAAAACAGAAATCTAACCAACCTTGTTTAGTAGAGAAGCTCAGTACTGCAGCCACAACTACAGAGAGAAAAAAAAGCTCTTAGAAAAAACTCCTAGAAGTCATTACTCTTCCTCTTCTAGTTTTCTGCATCATATAAATGAGGAAACCTTAACAACAGAGAAAATATCTACTTACTGAGCAGAACTTTGACCGATGTTTCCTCCATGGTGCCTCTCAGGGATCTGGATTGCTGGCTCATACCTCCTGTTATACAGTCCATCTAAAAGCCGCCCTCTTCCTCTGTGGTTTAGATATTTCCCCCTGTTTTTAGAAGTTAAATAATACCTGCTGCCGCCCCCAAGTGTTGATCAATTGCGTAGCGACACAACAATAGATCCGTAAGCAACATTATCTTGGTTGGCCCCGTATGAAGTACAACACGTCATAAAGGTACAGGATACAGCAACAGTTTTATAAATAAGCCAAGAAGATACAATTATACAATTCTTAGTTGTATATTATAACACATAACTCACGGAAAAACAGTGACTACGCACCTTGGATGGAAACATTGGTGCACCACAAAACGTTATAGACATCCCAAGTTCCAAAAACTAATTTCAGGGAGATGCTCACCAATAATTACGCAATTAGTGTTAATGTGAGGCACTCAGAATGCTGGACCCAGAATTCAAATAGACAGATCAGTTTGAGAAACAAGCATTTATTTATCGAGGTGTGCGGCTGCTCATCGGCTGGGGGGGACTGTTTGAGTTCTGAAGTCACTGACCTGAGTCTCTGCTCCTACAGGTCAGTGACTTCAGAACTCAAACAGTCACCAACCTGGTAAAGTTCAGTCCAAGCTCAGAAGATGGGGTCAAAACCAGAGGAGTGGTTACTCCATAGCTTGTTACAGAGCTGATTCCAGAGATCCCGGAGAGAAATGGTACAGAGGGTTAAATCTAAAGCTGGGGTCAGAACACAGGTCCAAGATCGATTGCAAGTGGAATCCAGATAGCAGCCCAGAAATAGGACAAGCAAACAGAGCATAACAGGATTGGATTATATATATATATATATATATATATATATATATATATATATATATATANTATACAGTGGGGCAAAAAAGTATTTAGTCAGCCACCAATAGTGCAAGTTCTCCCACTTAAAAAGATGAGAGAGGCCGGTAATTTTCATCGTAGATATACCTCAACTATGAGAGACAAAATGAGAAAAAAAAATCCAGAAAATCACATTGTCTGATTTTTAAAAAATGTATTTGCAAAATATGGTGGAAAAAAATTATTTGGTCAATAACAAAAGGTTATTGACTAAATACTTTTTTGCCCCACTGTGTATATATATATATATATATATATATATATATATATATATATATATATTCCCGTGATCTTTAAATTAACACAAAACAGCATAAGAGGACCTTGTTTATTTATTTATTTTAAGATTTTGTAAAAAACCGTTGCCGATTAAACCGGATGTTACAACCTTGACATGATTATACAAATTGTTTTTACCGTGAAAAGGTTAGAAGCGGCGTGGAAATGATCAGATCCGCCTCTCTGACTGCAATGTGCGCTCCGGACATGGGAGAACAGATTTTCACAGGGGAACAGAATTTGGCACAAAACCGAAACACGGTCTCCGTTTAAGCCAAAATAAAGTTTAGTAATGCCTATGCTTCTGTAACGTGTTCAGCAGATAGCTGAGCAATAATCAATCCTTTTCAATCCATCAAATATTGGCCGGATATTGCACAAAATGTATGGAGCTAACCAGAATGACTTCTGTTTAAAATAACTTTCGGTTTAATGAAGTTCCTTCCTGTTTCCCTGAAATGCCTTCTGTTTCAACCGAGATTCGCAAATAGCTCTCCATTAGTCAATAAGAAAGCTTTTCAGACGTGTGTACGAAAGATTTTCTTTACTGTGTATGAAAGCTTTTCAGTAGTGTATATGAAAGCGGTTCTTCAGTATTTTTAAAAGCTTTTCAGTAGTGTGTATGAAAGGTTTTTAGTAGTGTATATGAAAGCTTTTCAGTAGGGTATATGAAAGCTTTCCAGTAGTTTGTTTGAAAGCTTTTCAGTAGGGTGTATGAAATCTTTTTTAGCAGTGTATATGAAAGCTTTTCAGTAGTGTGTATGAAGGATTTTCAGTATTGTTTATGAAAGCTCTTCTTTAGTATGTTTGAAAGCTTTTCAGTAGTGTATATGAAGGATTTTTCAGTAGTGTTTATGAAAGAATTTAAGTAGTGTATATGAAAGCTTTTCGGTAGTGTATATGAAGGCTTTTCAGTAGTGTTTATGAAAGATTTTAAGTAGTGTATATGAAAGCTTTTCAGTATTGTTTATGAAAGCTCTTTAGTATGTTTGAAAGCTTTTCAGTACTGTATATGAAAGCTTTTCAGTAGTGTGTATGAAAGCTTTTCAGTAGTGTATATGAAAGCTTTTCAGTAGTGTGTATGAAAGCTTTTCAGTAGTGTATATGAAAGCTTTTTAGTAGTGTATATGAAGGCTTTTCAGTAGTGTTTATGAAAGCTTTTCAGTAGTGTGTATGAAAGCTTTTCAGTAGTGTATATAAAAGCTTTTCAGTAGTGCATATGAAAGCTTTTCTTTAGTATGTTTGAAAGCTTTTCAGTAGTGTGTATGAAAGCTTTTAAGTATTGTAAATGAAAGCTTTTCAGTAGTGTGTATCAAAGCTTTTCAGTAGTGTATATGAAAGCTTTTCAATAGTGCATATGAAAGCTTTTCTTTAGTATGTTTGAAAGCTTTTCAGTAGTGTGTATGAAAGCTTTTCAGTAGTGCATATGAAAGCTTTTCTTTAGTATGTTTGAAAGCTTTTCAGTAGTGTGTATGAAAGCTTTTCAGTAGTGCATATGAAAGCTTTTCAGTAGTGTATATGAAAGCTTTTCAGTAGGGTGTATGAAAGCTCTTTAGTGGTCAATATGAAAGTCTTTCAGTAATTTTTATGAAAGGTTTCCAGTTGTGTATATCGGATTACTGTGTTTTCATTATTTTATGATAAGTGAGCTGCTAAACATCATGACTGCTGTCTGATGTTAAAATGTATCACATTTGACTTCAGAATAAAAAAATGCCTTTTTTCCAAGTAAAGCTTTTAAACATAAAAGGTAATTTTTGATGATGAGGTACAACACAGCAATGGAGGCTGTTACTCTCTGAAACAGGTTTCCCATCAGTATCGAGCAGCCAGCTTCATGAGCCTTTGTGACCCAGCAGCTCGAGGAATGGGTCAACATTGATGCCTCCACCACCATAGAATAAGGATGTATGCTAGAGAAGAATAAGGAGAATCAAAGAAAGTGATTTTCCTTTTGTTTGAATGTGCTATTTTGCAAATGTGTTTTTTTTAAACTTATATGCTCTATGTTATTAACTTTGCTGTTATCTCATGTCACTGTCGGACTGGTAAATTGTTATAAGCTTTTTCCACGGTTGACTTACGTACTTCTGAGCTAATATGAGAAAGCCACATGCTTCAATACCTCAACTGTGTGGCAAATTGACTGAGATGAGTGAAGAAATCCATGGTAACTTACAGTATGTTGATAAACAAGAACATCTAAATTTTTTACTAGATATGTAAAATGTCCAATTCCTCCTAAATATAAAGAATTACATTCTAAAGTAATAAAAAAGCATCCCTCAAATGAGTTTATAAGGGAAAGACTTTAATTTATTTAGGTAATTTCAGTGTCTGAGAAACACTTGAAGAAACAACTAAACATTTTTATGGGTGAAATTTATTGACATTTCTAGATATCTAAGTTAATAACTTAATTACAAATCCCTCAACGTGTGTTGTTTTTTTCATTTGAACATATCCAGTTTAGCTTATTCCTTAAAATAAATAATTTTGAATGGTCAATGCTGTATACATAAATGTAGATTAATTAAATACCCTCTTTTTCTTCCTGCTGTCAAAAATTATACATGTATATACACAGTGCCTTTTCCAAGTATTGGCAACCCTGTTTAAGATGTGGTCAAGGACTTCTAAAAATTCTCCTTTTATTTTAAACAGCCTAGAACTCAAATGCAAGAAAAGAAAATAATCCAGCCTTTTATTTAAGTCCATTATTTTTGTGGTAAAAATAAGATAAAGTGAAATCATGTGTCCCATAATTATTTGCACTCCTAACAATTCTGCAGAAAACTTTAATTGATTTCCTGTAGTTATATATATTTTTCTGTAGTTGCTAAAGTTGGTCAGGGTATCTGGGGATTTTCAAATAATAAGTCACTACTTCCTGTCTCCCCTGAGGTATAAATATGACATGAACTCAGAGACCTAATTCTTTTGCCCATTTGTCAACATGGCAAAGACAAGAGAACACACCATTCAAATAAGGCAGATGGGTGTCGACCTTCATAAGTCATGCAATGGCTACAAGAAAATAGCCACTCACCTTAACTTGCCCGCATCTACAGTCAGAGGAATCCTTAAGAAGTTTAAAACAAGTGGAACAGTGACAAACAAGGCTGGAAGAGCTCCCAAGTTTATCTTGCCAGAACTGGCAATGATTAGGTTGGAAAGAGAGGTTAAAACAAGTCTTAAACTCACTGTCACAGAATACCAGCAATTAGTGGAATCTTGGGGTCACAGAGTGTCCGAAACAGCCATCAGATGCTCTCTACATGTCAACAAGCTGTTTTCGAGGCATGCACGGAAAAAGTATTTTTTCACAAATGTAAAAGTCTGGAATTTGCTAAGTGGCACTGGGACTTCACCTGGCATCCTGGACTTTTGTCAGATAAGAAAAAGATTGAGCTTTTTGCCAACAAACGCTATAAGTGGGTCTGGTGTAAAACAAGAGATTAGTATGCCGCAAAAAACCTAATGCCCACTGAGAAGTACAGTTGAGAATCTGTGATGCTGTGGGCCTGTTTCTCTCCCAAAGGCCCAGGAAATCTTATTAGGGTGCATGGTATGATGAACTCTTTGAAAAACCAGGACA